TTCCAGCCCCAGAACGGGGGCTTTGTTCCCCGAATGGTTTCCTTAAGTCCTTGAAAAGGAGCTTTCTGCCCCAAAATGGACTCGGCTGTCTCGAAATGGAGGTTTCCCGCACCGAAAAAAAGGAAAAAAGAGCTTTTTTTTTGTTTTTGCGTCTGAGTGGGTTTTTTTCAGCGCTGAAACGGGGGGTTTTTTCAGCCCCCAAAATGGAGGCGTTTCCGCCCCAAAATGGAGGCTCCCGGCCCAAGAATGGGACCTTTGTGCTCCAGCAGGGTGGGTTTTTTGCCCCAAATTATGGCTTTTCAACGCCAAAGTGAAGGTTTTTCACCCCTAAAATAAGATCTTTCCGTCCTGAAATGCTGCTTTTTTTTTTCAGCCCCGAAATTGGGGTTTCTGCTGCCAAATGGGGTTTTCAGACCTAAAATTTAGGTTTTTTTTTCTTTCCTGCTCCTAGAAGAGACTTTATTCACCCCAAAATACATCTTTTTTTAGCCCCAAGGCGGGGACTCTCTGCTCTTAAAGGGGTTTTCATCCTCCAAATGGGGATTTTCAGTCCCAGAATAGGATCTTTTGTGTCCCTACAGGAATTTTTCCGCCCCAAAATAGGAGCTTTCTACCCATAAAAGTTGCTTTCAGCTCCAAAATGTAGAGTTTTGAGCCTAAAATATAGTTGGTCTTTCCCCCAATAGTGTTTTTTTACCCATCAAAATGGGGGCTTTCTCCCCCAAAATGGAATTTTCAGCCCCAGAATCCTAAAATAGGATCTTTATACCCCCAAATCATTTTTTAATCTCAAAAAATATGCCTTTTCTGCCTATTTTCAGTACCTCAGCAGGCTTTTTTCACCCCAAAACGGTGGTTTTTTAGCCCTTAAATGGAGGATTTTTTTGAGCCTCCAAAAAGGGTTTCTCCTACCCAGAATGGACCTTTCGGCCCCGAAATTGAGGTCTTTTATTGCAAGAATGGCATTTTTCCACGTCAAAATGCCTTTTTAGTCCCTGCAGGGATTTTTTTTCAGCCCACAAAATGGGCTTTTTTGCTGATGAAGTATTTTAAGCCCCAAAACAGAGAACTTTGGTTCCAAAATGGATTTTTTCCAGCCACAAAACGGAATTTCTGCCCCAAAAAGATTTCTGGGCCATCGCTTCCTTACAGCAGCCCCTCAGTGC